TTCTTTCCTCTTGTCTTTGTGGGTTTATATTTTCCTTATTGATCTAATGTTCTCTTTGTGGGATTTGGGGAAAGAACAGAGATTACTGTGTGTGTTTAACCTTATGTGTTCAACTGGGAGATCTGATCATTGACTTTCCTTCTCCACACTTAATCCATAAAAGAGTGAATTGTTGCAGTAAGGCTTCCCAGGGAGGTGAAAGGAAGGGAAGAGGAAAAGGGAAAAAAAGATATCCTTTATTTTTTGCCCTTTCTTTTACTGAACCTGTGTACTATGACACACGTGTTGGGTATCAAATTCCATTTCCTGATGACATACCCTATTTGTGACTCAGCCTGGTGCTGGCAGCAATGTCCCCTGCCCCATCGCAGCATTGGCAGTGGTACAGCTGGGATGCTCCGATGGGCAGCATTACCCAGTTTTGGGAGGAATTTCCCATTGATGAAGGGAAACAATGAGATTATTGTTTGTTGAATTTGTGTGATGGTTAATTTTACATGTCAACTCAACTGACCATGGGGTGCCCAGATTAATCACTATTTCTGGGTGCATCTGTGAGGCTGCTTCCAGATGAGATCAGCATTTGAAATAGTGAACTCAATAAAGTAGATTGCCCTCCCTAATGCTGGCGAGCATCATCCAATCAACTGAGAACCTGAATAGAACAAAAAGGCAGAGGAAGGAGGAATTCATCTCTTTGCTTCCTGTTTGCCTGCTTGAGTTGGAACATCTGTGTTCTCCTGCCCTTGGACTTGAATTTATACCATCCCCTCTCCTTGTTGTCAGGCCTTCAGACTTAGACTAGAACTGTACCACTGGCTTTCCTGGGCTCCAGCTTGCCGATGTCAGATTGGGGGACTTCTCAGCCTCCGTAATCACATGAGCCAATTCCTCATAATAAATCTCCATATATAAATATATCTCTATCTACATCTCTCTCTCTCTCTCATCTATCTCTCTATCTCTCTATCTATCTATCCATCTATCTATCTAATATATTGGTCCATTTCTCTGGAGAACCCTAACGCAATGTTTAATTTTGTTTCTGAAGTTAGATTGAGAAAGGAGGCCTAGAGTCCACATGTCATCACTGTTCTAGGCACTGTGCTTAGGAAACCCACAAATGGTTGGTCTTATTCATAAATGTGAAGAAACTAAGCAAGCTAAATATTACAAAGCTAACAATTCTTCCCAAGGTAATTTTGGAATTTAATGCAATTCACTTAAAATTCTGACAGAGCTTGCTTTATAAAATGGTTTCAAAATCATCTGTGAAAAGAGAAAGACAATACTGAGGAATATTTTAAAAAGAAGGAGCACTTCCATTTCCAAGCCAGAAACCTGGCTTGTCAGCTTTGATGCTTCTCTCTCTCACTCCTCCACATCCAATTCATGACAGGATGTACCACTAAAAGATATGTCAAATCTATCCATTCTCTCCATCACCACTTCCACTACCATGGCCCAAGTGTCACTATCACCCACTAAATCACTGCAATGTCCTCCTGACCCACTCCCCACATACTACCAGCCCCACCCAATCTGCTCCCCGTGCAGCAGCCACGTGTGGTCCCATCTCTCTGCTGCCCTAACCTATTCAGCAGCTTTTCATTGCACGTCTCCCTCCAATCTCTTCCTTACTCATTTTGTATCTGCTTCTCATTCATTCATTCATTCATTCAACACTATTTATTTAGAACATTCACTGTGTCAGACAATGAGAGAGGCCCTGGGGAGAGAATGAGCAAAACAGACTCGATTCACTCCAATACCCTAGTGGTTTTAAAGGCAAAGGACAGTAAACATGAAAAAAGATTCAGCTGTGTTTGTAATTAAACCAATGCCAATTTAAAATAAGATTTTATAAATGATCATTAATTTGGCAAAACCCAAACAAGAAAGCTTAAATCAAATGTTAAGGAGGCTAGGAAAAATGTATATATTTATTCATTATTGGTAACATATGTTGAATCAATACAAATGTTTTGGGGAAGAATCTGGCAAGAGGTTTTTCAAGAGCTAAAAAAAAAAAAAAAAGTCCATATCCTTTGACCCAACAGTCTTACTCCTGGGAAATTATTTCAAGGAAATAATTCCAAGAAAGGGGGAAGGGTGGAGGAAAACTTACATATAAAGTTTTCTTATTGTAGTGCTTTCTATATTAGCAAAAGACCTGACATCATCTAAATGGTCAGCAAAAGAATAGTTAGATAAATTTAAAGCAAGCTGAAGTAATTCATTACGATGATGGAAACAAATTAAATGCAGAAAGTAGGACACAATGTGTTTGAATGTGATGTGGAAAGTATATGGATGAATACAAGAAGAAATAAAAGTAATTTCCAAGTGTTAAAGTGCTGGTTTTTATGTGATTGAATTTAGCAATTAATAATTTTTAAATTAAGTGACCTAATGGAAAAGATGGTTGAACTTTATTATAAAATTAACTTTGATTATGTAGAGTATATTTCCCAGTGGTCATATTTCTATTTTAGGCAATGTGTTGTCAAATGAAAAATATAATTGGCTCCTGGAAAAAATGTTCTTTTCATCAATGAGTATATGATAAACAAAATTAAAACTGATGCTATATCAAAAATGGGGGCAGTTATGCAGTTTACACTGTCAAGGGAGATTATGGGGTCTCTACGGAGTGTAAGAATTTGTCAAAACCCAAGAGCTGTATTCAGAGCTAGAGAATAAAAAGACTCAGCATTTTTTAGGCAACTTCCAGTCCCCTGGGAAAAACTGGGCATGTTTCCAACCCCCAGGATATTCTGATGTGGTAACAGCACATGGTAACCTTGTTCCTGTGAAGCAGTTGTTCCTGGACCATGACTGGGAACTACAGACTTGCAGTGCCTAGGCCAGACACTACAAGAGCTTGCAGTTCTCCTAATGCCTAAGGGTTCAGGAACTCTGCTCAGGTTCAACAAATCCAGACCTTTTCTTTCTGACATCTAAGTTAGGATCTCTGCAGAGCAGATCTTTGCACAGTGGGGCAAAGCTGTTCAGTATAGCACAGGATGTGGTGCTAGTTGAGTTCATGTAAATACACCAGGGCCTCATTAAAAGATGCTTTGTGTATAAGATATTTCATTTTACTGCAGAGGATAGAAGATTATTTGCCTCTTGACAGTCCCCAGAGGAAGACGAAAGGAAATCAGGAGATCTAAGCTTTGATTTTGGTTTGGACACTCTGGCTATGTGATCTGAGCCTGTAACTTCTTTGTGCTTCAGTTTTCTTTCACTTATAAAACTAGGAGGTAAAACTTATATGATCCTGCCTTAAAGTGGATGTCTAGAGCTATTTGATTGGGAGTATTTTTTAAAAGATTTCACTATTTCCAGATGACCAGCAGAGATTTATGGTATTACAATAGAGAGGGAATGCCAGAGGTCTTTTAGGCCATCCCCCTGCCTTCCTTCTTATCTCAACATGTCTAGCCCCTCCTAGAGTGAGGGGTGTCATGACTGCAGGGTGCTCTGTACTTGAATGGAGGAAATCCCAGAAATCACATTTGGAAAAAAACATTTTGTATAATGGTGGGAAGAGCCACCTGCAGATGGGGCCCACCATAAGAGATGGCTGGAAGCACAAGGGTGTTGCCCAATCCTCTGTGAAGACTCCAGTGTGAATTCTCAAGGCAAGTTAGCCAAAGAGAACTGAAGTTCAGATGCCTTAGGTTGCTATCTTTCCTTATCGCAGAGGTTCTCAAAGTGGGGACGCTGAGACCTTTTCAGAGGGTGTGTGAGGTAAAAACTATTTTCATAACAATATTAAGAAATTGTTTGCCTTTTGCAACGTGTTGATATTAACACAGGCACTGAGCACAGAGCAGGGCAGTGGCCCTGAACTGTATTAGCAGGCAATGAGTTCTTCACTGCCATGTACCCACAGTAAACATGACGACAAAAAGTCTGTTTCTCTTAAGAATGTCCTTGATAAAACAATAAAAATGATTAATTTCGTAGCAGGCAATGAGTTCTTCACGACAAAAAGTCTGTTTCTCTTAAGAATGTCCTTGATAAAACAATAAAAATGATTAATTTCTTTATTTCACCTTTGAGTACACATCTTTTTATCATTCTGTGTGACTAACCAGAAAATAGGCAAAGGCACTTCTGCTGTATGATGGTTTTGAATAAAAGCGCTTAACATGATTCTTTGAGGTGCAAGTTGGACGAGCCACTTTTTATGTTCATAGAACATCATTTTTACTTTAAAAAACAAATGACAGACAAATTATGGTTATTCAGACTTAGGAATTTGGCACACATTTTCTCAAAAATGAAGTGAGCCTGTCACTTCAAGGAAAACAACTGACAATATTTTTTGCCAATGATAAAATTTGAGCTTTCAAGCAAAAATCAGGATTTTGGAAAACTTGTATCCATTACTGTGAACTTGATAGCCTTCCAATACTTAAACACTTTTCTGATGAGATTGGTAGTGATATGAATGGATGTGATATTTTTTGATTCTGTTTAATGAACTGTCTCAACATTTGGATGATCTGCATAACTTAGTAAACCAATATTTTCCGAATGAGCAATGTATGATGTTATAAAACCAAGCACTTGTGAAAGAACCATTCAAAGTGGAAGGTAAAGCAATGCATTTTAATGTAAGAGAATACAAGTTCAGTGATGTAGTTTCATATTCTACACTGTAATTAGCCTTTGGAAGACTATGATTTGTAGAGTTTTGGTGTAGTATCAAAGATGATTATCTGTAATTATCTAAAAAGGTTATTAAATTCCAATTACATAGCCATGTGAGACAGAATTTTCTTCATATACTTTAACCGAAAAAATATACCACAAAATGTTGAATGCAGAAACAAAGGTAAATGAGAATCCAGGTGTCTTCTATTAAGCCAGAAATTAAAGAGATTTGTAAAAATATGAAACAATGACACTCTGCATTAAATTTTGAACAATATAGTTATTTTCACAAAATATGTTATTTATGTTAACACGGAATGAGTTTATTATCGTTATTTTGTTATATGTCACTTTTATAAATTAACTAATAAATAATATTTTTAAATTTCTCAGCTTCAATTTTTGATATGGTAAACATTGATAATTATAACCCATATAAAACAAAATTATGTTGGAGTTTTCAGTGATTTTTAAGCATGTAAAAGGGGTCTTGAGATTAAAAAGCTTGAGAACCACTGTCCTAAGATCCCTGCGGGGAAAGTGGTGTTTTGGAAGACTAATTAATAAAGGAGCGGGGACTTGGCATCTGTCAGCACTGATGTGAGGAATCTTCTCTGGGATTGATGACAAGGTCTGGTTATCAAGACAGAGTCATCCCTGCAGTGGCAAAAGAAAATTCATCTATTACCTAAGATTGGTAGAAATCACTTTTGAGAACATCGAATTTTCAAGGTCCTGATTATACCCTTCCTGTGCCCTTCCAAATGGCTCCAATCTCCTGAGTGTACAAGTTCACCCCTTTTCCTCCAAGGAAGGTTTGGCCCACACTCACTGCTCAGTACGAGTGTAAGCTGGACATCTGCCTCCCAGGTCATAGAGAATGCCGCTCTGAGTTCAATCACCAGTACATGGTACTTGGGACTCCTCCAAGGAAGGTTTGGCCCACACTCACTGCTCAGTACGAGTGTAAGCTGGACACCTGCCTCCCAGGTCATAGAGAATGCCGCTCTGAGTTCAATCACCAGTACATGGTACTTGGGAGGGCACCAGGCACTTCTAAGCATAAGAATCAAAGATGAGCATGTCATGGCTTCTGTCCTAGAGAACTTTGCACTCTGGTGGGGAAGAAAGACTCCTGAAGAAACAATTGCAGTATGATGTGATAAATGCTATTCTGACCACACTTTTCCAACCAAAAATTAGGACATAATCTGACAGACAATGTAACATAACATCTGACAATGTAACAATCCCGGGGGGATCTGGAACACATGTCTACTATATTTATACACTCCCAACTCCACAGAAATTCTGTATAGATTTGTACTAGATTTGGCCCAGAGACCTAGAAACAATGGTTTTGTATTCCTTGCCTTCCTCCCTGCCCCACCCCCATCACCCCAATTCTGGGAAATGACAATGGCAGAATAGAAAAGGGCAAGAAGCTCCTTAGGATCACAAAAGATGAGTAATGGGCTCCTAACATTTTATTTCTTCTGGGTTAGTGGATGGGAGGTACTGGAGGAAATTTTTCCCATCATACTTGTTCCAAGTGTTTTTTCTTCCCCAGGACACAGAGTCCAAGTTTGTTCACACAGGTCTCCCACACCAGCTGAAGCAGATCAGGCTGAATCCCAGAGTCAGAAGAATGAACTAGTAAAAGGCTTCTAAGATCCCAAGCCTTGTGGGTAAAATTAAACAATAGGACTCCTGATCTGCCCAGAAATGTTAGAGTCCCCTCTGGGTGGTCTGTTTGGGGACCGTGGAGGTTCTGGTGTGGCCTGGGTCTTCTGACGTCCCAACCATGTGTACTTTTCTCCCCTCTCCTCTTCTTAAAGACCCAAATCCCTCTTTTTAATCTCTTTCTCCATTCCTACTGTTCTTTCCCAGCTGTGGTAACTCCAAAGTGAAACACACCAGAACAAAACAGACAATGAACAGAAAAAAACACTCTCAGTGCCACACACAGACATCCTGCCACCCACAGTTAGAGAGAATGGGCAATGCTGGGTCTTAAAGGCAATCAAAACTAAAGGCAGAACCAGGAGCCTGACAAGCCCTTCTTTGAATCTTGGACCCCCTACTTACATTTTACTATGGGCAAATCATGACATCTCTCTGATCCCCAGTGAGCTCATCCACAAGAAAAGGTTATTTTGAGGATTAAATGACATAACATATGTAAAAATGCTTGGTACATGGTAAGTCCACTATTCATAGTTATAATTTTCACATCTTTTTGTGTGATAATCTGATTAGCGTCTGGCTCCCTGCTAACTCCTGGGAACATGGGTGCATCTCTTTTTGTTTACTATTATATCTCTAGAGATGTGAGCACAGTACCCGGCACATGGTAGGCATTTGTTAAGACAATTGTATGATAAAAGGGAGTTGGTAGGGTCCTAATTAAGGATCTACTCCAAAATATAAAGTTGGAGTTTTTTTGACAACTCTCATGGGTTAGTGCTGGCTATCTGGAGCATGGTGTCATGAAGGATTCTAAGGTGGCATCTGGAATCTGTGGGGAAGGGGCATTCTAGTTGATTACCAATAGCTGCTATAGTTGAGTATTCATTGACCTTGGTCTATGGAGTCAAGAGCAGGTCCCTTTCGCCAGATATTTACAGCACAAATAGGCCAGTTATGTAATTCATGGACAGAACTGTTTCAGGAGGATTGAGGTTATGAAATGTCCAATCTGAAGATAAGTAGCATGACTTCAAGAATATTTTGTTAAACACAGACAAGAAAACAATTAGAACAATGCTATGCAAAGAAGTTAAAAGCATACCACAATTATGTCTGCCTGTCTCAATGAATTTACTTACTTGGAATGTGTGTTTCATGAATCAGTTGATAACAGTGAGCAGACCTGACATACTTCAGCTAGTATATCCACAACCAGACAGACCTTTAGCAACATGCTTTTCCCCAACCCATAAAGCAGCTACCGTACTCACGAGGGTAATCTTTTGGGTGTGTCTTCTCTGACCAATTCCCATAAAATGTGAGTCTGTACTTGGCAGTTCCACAGGCACAGCAGTCTAAGATTGGCTTGTCAGTTACTCCATCAAACGTGGAATCTGAAACATTCAGGAAAGTCACAAAGTTGGGCAGCAAATATGAGTTGTGTACAAGGCAGCACCATCTATGTCTCATCCTATCCTTAACCGCTAGGAAAAAAAGAGGAAATGCAGTTTTCATTGATTAATAAGACTCAACCAGATCAGTGCTTGGGCTATAAAGGATTTTGTATGCCTCTAGGTACAATAACTATATTTTGCAAATAAAAAAAATTCAGAGCTTTTGCTCTGATAATTTGGCATATCTACTGGATCAATAGGGTAGACTATTTGAGATGGGGGCTATCTTGGGAAATCAAGGGTAAAATTTACCCAGTTATCCTTTCTGGATCCTGGTCTCCTTCCCGACCTCTCTTACAACAGGATTTTTCTATCAAATTTTAAGAGGAATACACGTGTGTATCTTCTCTAAGAATATGATCTGGTGCCAAAATGCAAGGACCAGAAGGAGCAGCTTTGAAGGACAGCAGTAAGAACAAGTAGAGAAACATAAAGAACTGCTGAATATTAAAAAAAAAAAAAAAAAAAGACGTGCATGAATAGTCCCATCACTTATCATGCTTTCAGAGACTTTACTAGGATGGGTAGGGGTTTGGAAATACATTGGTCATAAGTTCAGGTTTACTTCTGGATATACAAGCAGCCAGGAACAACTTAGCCAGTTTCCTCCTCAGCCCCCATTTTTAGCTGTGAATAGCTGGTGAGTGTTGAGAGGGAACATGAATAAATTCAGTATTTTTGACTGTCAAATCCACATCCTAACTGTGCATTGTTGCTTTCAGTTTGTTCTGCTTCCTGCAAGACAAAAACAATGACTACAGAGGCAACTCACTTCAATTGCTTTTACTTCAGTCCCCCTAGCAGGATTAACATAAATGTTGGTTTTCGGAAGTTGGACATTTACTCTCAAACATTATACAAAGAGCAGCAACAAAGAGTATAAAAGTCATTTTGGGTGTCAGGAAGAACATTTTACAAGTCTTCCTTTTGGAATTCATTGGGTTCATTCAGTTTGAATATGAAAAATCAGTGATGGGTAGAAGTGCATTCTGGGTTCTAGGATGCAGACGAAGTATGGAATGTTGTAATAACAACTACGGTGTACTGAGTCTTTGTATGTGTTGATCCTTTTCCATGTATTGTCTCATTTAATCCTAACAATCCTAGGAGGTAAGTACTTTGTTTATCCCCACTTTTACAGATCAGTAAACTGGGGCAGGTTTGGTAACCTGCTCAAGGTCACAGGGTTAATGAGTAGTGCAGGCAGAGCTTGAGCCCAGGTCCTCCTGGGTCCATAGCCCATGCCTTTAATCTCTACCCAAATCATTCCACAGAAGACCTTCTCTGGACAGGTCTGCACAAACACCAATAAGAGAAATTTTTCTGTTTGTTTCTGTTTTGCTTTTCCAAATGAAGAATGATGCTCCAGGATTTCTAATCAGTCTGAAGGAGGAGGGTGGGACCATCCAAAGTAGAAATCATTGCTTGTCTACTTTTTGTATACTTCAGAGAGGCCGAGCATTGTCTGTGCCTAAGGAAAAGCTCCCCTGCTGCCTTATGTGCTGGAAGCCCAGATCTGATGCCTGCATGAGTCTGTTGAATATATTTCAGGAAGGGTAACATAAATCAGTAATTCCTGAAGATTTTGTCTTTTTGCATTCCTGTTACGATCAACTATAATGTAGGAAACCTAAATTAGTTTTGAAAAAGGGATTCAGAACTAAGAGATACATGCTGGGGTTTCAATTGTTACTACCAGGCACTGTTAAATGAGGCAGCAATAATCTCTCAAAGAACCCAAATAAGGCCACTGGTAGCTTTACCTTATCAAAAAGGCTTTCAGATATAGGTGGTAAACTTACAAGATATTTTCAAGGATTCAAAAGAATGCACTTACAGTAAACCTTCTGGAATTTCAAAGGAAAATAAGCTTCCATTTAAAAAATAAATTTCTGAGTTTGAAGATAAAAACAGACATGCGGTTTCCTAAGGGAAAGCCTATTGAAAATGAATCAGGCTTCCAAAGTGCAGGGATAACAAGCGCCAGCTCGCTGCTCTTCCACCCGCAGCAGGGCCTGGCAGACACGGCTTCCGGCCGCTGAGCACCTCCTGAGCTGCTCTCCCTCCTGCTTTTACTCTTCATCCATTGGCTTCCTCTTCAGCCCTCTCCTGCATCCTTTGTTCTTCTTCCCCCTTTCCTCCTTTTCTCATCATCCCTCCTCTGCTCACCTTTTCCTGTCTTCTCTGCGCTTCCCTTCATCTTTCCTTCGCTTTGTGTCTCACCTTTAATTGCCTGTGACATGGTATTAAAGTGTGTGTATGCATGTATTTATTACTAGGTTACTTTTCTAACTATTTTATGTTTCTCTGTCCTCACTGTAAGTAGCTTCATGTTTATGTTGCTTTTTAAAAATAATCCTCACCATTGCTTTTTATCTGTGCAGCTCTTAATTCTTCTTCTGTGGATTAATGGCTTCAACTGGGAAAAAAATAAGAGATACACGTTTCTCTCGCCCCTTCCTTCATAGATTTGGTTTAACTTGACCAGGGAGCAAAGAATGCAGAGACTTGAATGAGAGCTAGAGATAATTAAGTGAGCATATGTGCACATTAAAAAACTCTCTTTGCTGTACACTTACATTCTAGAGACTTTCTTAATGGGATCCACTTTAACTGATAGATTTCCTCATAGGTCTGCTGTCTCCAGGGATCAACTACCATCTACAACCACACCTAATGATCCTACAGTCCAGGGCTGCTGGACCTTTTTGCTCACCAAGTTGCCACTTGGAAGCAGCCTTTGTATAGAGATGTGTGATTAGTCATTTTGATAGGATCTCTGCCTCACAAGTAACAACTAAATAGAAATTTGCCAGATCCTTTTATTGACACTGTATCTACAGAACTTTATCATATTCACAGCTTAGACAGGCTTCACACAACCTCAGGATTTAGGCCCTGGAAAGTGCATTTTAGTTAATGATTGCTGTCAGTACATGAATTTATCAGTGAAATGTTTCCTAAGAATCCTCAAATTCTGGAAACAAGGCTGTTCTCTGACTGTCAAACTTACACGGCCACACCACAATGGCTGTGATTAGCCATCTGTGGGGGCAGACCAAGATGTGGGCTGTAAATGTGTGATCCAGAACAACAGCAACTCCAGCCCACGGCACCTAGATGCCATCCCATGAAGGTAGGCCAGGAAGGGGATTGTCATTTAGGAACCAAAAGCCTCATCAGTTGACATGCTCCCTGTTTGGAGAAAGGCCAAGTGAATTTGTGGGCAATTGAACACAGTAAAGAAAGCCCCAAAAGCTACATGTGCAGGGCCCTGGCCTGAAGCTTCCAGCTTTCCAGCCCCAATGACAGATATGGCCCTAATGCAGGGCATCCGACCCTCCCTCCTTTGCTGTTTCCATGCTCTCAGAGCAACTTCCACATTGGACTCAGTTTCTGTGCTAGCTCATCTATAGGGAGACAATGCATTGAACAGCCAAAGCAATGATGCAAGCCACTAGATTGGGAGGTGGTCGCTTTGATAGAAAAGCACTGGTTAAAGGCACTGACTCCTAGCTTCAAACCTTTCCCTTTACCACTGGCTGTATCATGCTGAGAGCTATTTAAACCTTTTGTCTCAGCCTCCTTATCTCTAAAATAAGGATGTTAAAATAATCTTGGCCATATAGGGTTCTTGTGCAGATTACATGATTAATGCATGTGAAGTGCTTAGAAGAGCACCTGGCATGTGGCAAGCACCCCCAAAATATTAGCTATTATTATTATTTTCCAAGAAGACATTTCTCAACCTTTCTTTTTCTTACTGGCTTATGATTTCCTAGAGTTGGAGAGGATTATTTCTTTTCAAAAGACTAATTGCTCTAAACACAAATAAAAATTCTGCAAAAATGAATAGAAATGAGATAGTTAAGCTATATAATTATAGGACATTTTCTATTTTTATTTAGGTATCTAATGATTTCTAAATACATTCAGATGTTTAAGGTCTTATTTTTTTTGTGTGTGTGTCTTTTTTGTCTTT